TTCCCTACAGCACTAAGTACATGCAGAGATCAGGGAAATTAATGTCGAAATGATTCAGAGTTTGATAAGTTTAGTTCAGGAATTCTTCAAAGAGGATGGCTGAATTTTATTGAAGGGGAGGGAAGGAAATGATTTGCTAGAAAAGAGACGAAAGGGCTTTCCAGAGAGGAACAGTGAAAGTTACAAGGCCAATAATAAAAATAAAAATAATTACATATATATATATACACATATATACACACACATATATATGTTGTGTGTATGTGTGTTCATTACTATTTACAAGCCCTTTCACATCCACTACTTTAAGCATTACAATAATTCTTTGAGAAGGTATGATTATTATCTCCCATCCTGTTTGCTTAGAACACTGAGGTTTAAAGGGACTAAGTGGAGCCCAGTGTGGAACCTAGATCTTCCAGCGTGAAATTCACTGTTTTTTCCACTATATCATGCTAAGAAGGCAGCCCTCTAGATGGCTATCCAAAATACAGCCCCTAGTGAGGATCAGGAGAAGGAAGGAGGGGTCTGGCTACTTGGGTGTCCACAAATGTGTAACCTCAGTGTTTGTCTCATTTGAGATCCCTGCAGTGAAGCTGAACGAGCTGCTCGAGAACTTTTATGTCACCGTTAAGAAGAGCGACGGCTCAGACTTCCTGGCCACGTCGCTGCACGCCATCCGCCGAGGCCTGGACCGCATCCTGAAGAATGCAGGCGTGGGCTTCTCCATCACCAGCAGCACCTTCAGCTCCTCCACCAAGAAGCTCAAGGAGAAGCTGTGGGTGCTGAGTAAGGCAGGGATGTCAGGTGCCCGTTCTCGCAACATCGTCTACTTCTCCCTCTCTGACGAGGAGGAGATGTGGCAGGCAGGGTGTCTGGGGGATGACAGCCCCGTCACCCTTCTGTCCACCGTGGTCAAGTACAACAGCCAATACCTGAATATGAGGACGCTGCAGGAGCATGCTGATCTGATGTATGGTGACATCGAGCTGCTCAAAGACCCACAGAACCAGCCCTATTTTGCCCGGACAGACAGTGTCAAGCGGGAGAGTCGGAGTGGTTCCACTCGAGTGTGCCACGGGAAGATCTACCACGAGCATTCCAGGGGACATAAACAGTGCCCTTACTGCCTCCTCTACAAGTACATGTACATCCACCGACCACCCACCCAGATGGAGGCCAAGTCCCCTTTCTACCTTACCGCCAGGAAGGAGGCCGCAGACATGGGCAGCGTGTGGTACGAGGAACAGAGGATGGGACTGAGGTCTCTTCGGGGAATTGTCCCGAACTTAGCCAAGAAGGTCAAGCTGGAAAACTGTGAGAACTTCACCTTCGTCTCATTTACTCAGGTCTCCAGGAGGCTTGGCTCCCACAGCTGCTGCCAGTGAGTCTCCCCTGGGTCCTGGCCACCACCCGACACACCCTGGCAGGCGGGCGCTCCCCCCGCAGCCAAGGCCAGAGCTCTGAGGCAGCAGGGATGACCGTGACTTCATGGTCAGGCTGGTCCCTGTCAGTGGGACTTCCTATTTCTTTGACTTTGCGTTTGTTTTTTTAACTGAAAGTAGATGAATATTTAGGATGTTTTATCCAGATGTGTGTCACCTTTGTTAAATTATAGAGTCTAATGCACTGTATAAATTACTATATACACAAGAGTGAGGAAGTTCATTTTATCTAGTGCCTTTTTAGCACAGATTTTCTCAAAAAAAATAAAAGGGAGTGGGGAAGAAAACCGTTTAAGTAGTCATTAAAAAAATCCCAGTAGCCTAGTAGCTTTAGAATGTTATAAACACTTTGTGGAATTACACTCACAGTGAGGAACTAGGAAGGGAGAGGCAGACATGTTAACTATTTCCAGGAGAAAAATGGCACCTGGCACTCCTCCTTATGTCTTGTTGATGGATAACTTGGTCCTGCAGAGCAAGCAGCCTTGCTTGATGGAAGGTCGTGGAGCTACGCTCAGTCATGCTGATAGGAAAGTGGGGACTGCTCTCAGCCCTGGGAGGACTTGACCTCTGCATCAGTGGAGACAGTTTTAGGAGAAAAGATTAATGCACCAAATGGTGCTTGTGAGAACAAGGTTTCCAATGAACTAGATGGTTTGTACCATGAGGGAATTTCCAGTAGTAGAGAAAGTGTCTTGGAAAAGCAGTCTGCGATCAAAACGTGAAAAACCTCCTGAAGCAGAAGTGCCTACGTTTTCTTTCTCAGCGCCATGTAAAAGCTATTTTCGTTTGAACATTTTTTAGAGGTTTCTTTTTTCATCTGTTCCTTGTGTCATACATTTGTTCTGTCAGCATATAGCACAGGACTGTAAAACACCTGAAAGTAATTTTCAGGCGTAACCAGGAAAATCCAACAGAACAAGCTGCAAAGAAAACAAATTTCAAAACATGTTTATTAAAGAGTTTTGAAATATTTTTGTCAAAGTATGACTCTTTCAGCCACAAGAGATCTCATCATTTTAGGTTGGCACCAATGCTTGGGACACGAGGATGTAGGCAACCTACCAGGTAAGCAAACCCAGCAACAAGCACAGAGTTGAAAAATCAGACCATGATGATAGGTTATCAGTGCAGTTTGAAATCATTTCACTCAGGTGAGATTAAACCTGACTACTTGTCATTCAAACATTAACAGAATGTTATAATAACTGCTCTGAATAAGTGAAAAAGGAGCCCAAAGAGGACTAATTAATAATAATTTCTAGGGAATCTTTATTTTGTATTTGAGGAAAGACTGCTACAACTTCATACCATTTTGTTCCTGTGTGTGTTTTCCAATCCACAATTGAAAGTCTAGTATACATTCATTTTGTAGGAGTCCTAAAATCAGCCCTATTTCTTTTTCAAAACATTATTTTAGTATTTATTTTAATTGTTTTAAAAAATCATTCACTGGTCATTGAAATATATAATACTTCCTTTACCAGAGAAGACTCAACCAATGCTGCCTTAAGGTTTAATGTTGTTCCCTTTTTAGTTCCTGCACATTTATTTTGTTTACTAGTCGATCTTTCCTGAATATAGATTAACTTTGGTATGTCTCCATCTGTATATAAATAACAGGTAATATTTAATAAGCAGTGTTATGACTTGATATTGCACACTGTTCTGTTGTAGTTTCCTATAGGGATTTTAAGGTTTTGATTAAAAGAGACACAAAACACGAGGTGCAGTTTCCTTTAGTGGGTGAACACCCAAAGGAAATTTTGTTTGAGGAAAGCACATGGTTGTTTTTCTTGTCAATACTACACTTAAACAGAAATATAACCTATGTGAACTACTGGGCAGGGCCTGCAGCTTAATTAACAAAACCTCCATTTTTATTTTAAATCGATTCAAGAAGAAATTGCCATTAGATATCGCTGGGATCTTTTCAGATTTTAACATTTCCAAAAGTAGCAATAACTGATCCAGAGGCCGTAATCTTTCTGTTGATAGTGGCTTTTTATCAGCTGAATAACAATCTCTGCCTCAGGTTTGTCGCTTATCACCTATTTGATGGACTTTCAACCCTCAGAGTTCTGAAGTGAATGATTATAATCAAAGTCAGGAGGTAGAATCTCCAGTGATACCTGATGGAAGGAAAGAATCGTATCTCAGCATCCTAAATGCCGTTCATTGCATGCCTCCTGTGCCACCCACTGTATAGGTACTTTGTCTATTATATATTTGTGTGTAGATGTGTATGTGTGTATGTGCACACACACTTTAAGTTTATATGTGATAACACCTAGTACACCTGCTAATATGGTGAAGCACCTATCCATCTATATGGCTGTGTCCATGCTCAGAGGATCTGAAGCGGGGCAGAGTAGCTAGTCCTTGTTGGGCTTCAGAGCTAAGGCAGTTGTTCTGTCTTTTCGGCCAGCTGTAAACCATACCCTCTGGGGACTGCAGGGTTTTCTACTCTTGGCCTAAGCCAGGAGAAAGGAGATTCCCAAGAGAAGAAAGAGGGAGGTTAAGAGTTTTTTCTCCGCTTACCTTTAGTGTTTTTTGTATTCAAAAGTGGGAATGAATACCGGGAACTTGCACATTCACCGAGGCTCAAGTGGCCGTGGCTCTGCCTCAGGAATGGTGGTGCTGTAGGTGTTATGGGACGACCCAGGGAGTCCTTTGGGTGAGCTCTTGCCCCCAGCACCTTCTGCACCTGCTCTAAAGGAAGCCCCGCTCGCCTGGTACCTCCTCCCCAGAATTTAGCCAGTCTCCCCTTGGAAGTTTATTCCAGCAGAGATGATGGGGGCATCAGCTTGAAGGGTATGATTCAATGAAATATAAAGGCTTTAGCGCAGCACCAGGCACATAGTATTATTTATGCAATAAATCTTAGTTATTTTAGTTACAACCTTTGGTAAGAGTAATAATATTATTCACCTAATCTGCACTATACCACTTATTCCTTCCATTATGGAGATTCCCTCTCCTGTTAAACTTGAAGAGGAAAGCAAACCTGATAATGTGGTCACATTTATACCCATAAATTCTACCTCCAGCACCTCCAAGCCCTGATACCTCAGACATAAGCAAAAACAATTAAAGCATAGAGAAGCCCTGAGAGGCGTTATGAGAAAGTTTTCCCATGGTTTAGTGTGTTTGCAAAGGGAAGTATTATGGGAAAACCTAACCAAAGTTGTGAAAGAAATGGTCTCCTCGGTCATGTGGCATTTCCCAGCTTTCCTTGGATTATATGCTGTATTAATCTGCCCTGATAAATGTTTATAGAAATGTGAAACTCAGTTACTTTGATTTTTATTTTAATTCAACCTCATTAAAAGCATCGCACTATACCCACCCTGTCAGCATATTCATAGACAGCTGTGGAGAAGGTCTAGACAAAATAATCCTCCTGTAGAAGCGGGAGCCGCTGGCTATAGAAGGAAGGTTACCAGGCTGGCAGCGCCTTCTCTACTCACTTGGTAAATGCTGGTCTCACTTTCCTCAGCTGTGAAAGGAGATCATCGGAAAAGATCATCTCCAAAGTGAATAAGGTTACATTTCTGCAATTCCTCAAGGCCATGTAGTTAGGAAGTGGCAAAACTAGGAGGCAAAATTCCTAATTCCTCAAGATCATATACTCCTAAGTGAGTGCTTCTCGCTATATTGGAACGCTTGCTTTAGGAATAACAATTTTCTTGAAATTTTAAGTTTGACAGCTCCTTAAATTATTTTGCTATCTCTATAGGCAGCAGAATGTTATTTTTCTCAGGTTAGGCTAACACTAACCACATTGTTACCACTTAAATAAACAAATATTTATGTTTAAATATTACTCTTATCAAACAAGCATCACTTTGTTGCTTTTGTTGAAATCTGGATTGCTAACAGTGGGTTCTTGAGCTAGTAACCAGTTAACTTTAGGCAGCAAGAAATGCAAACGATGAAGATCTCAAAGAAGAGTTACCTCATTTTCTCTACAGGCGCTCCAATTTATTCTAAGTTAAGACCCATACATATTGAGAAACTGTTAACAAACAGCCCTGAACCGAAGAATGCATTAAAAGTTTCAAATTCACGTATATCTTTAAATGCTTTTACTTTTGGGGTGAATTTTTAATGCTCTGTTTTAAGAGAAAAACATTCAGTTGTTTAGGCAAAGTTCTTAGGTAAAAATCTTTGTTGTGTTTTTCCATATAAATTATCACCTAAGCAAAAACAGGAGTGGAGGGAGAGATTGGTGATGACCTAAGGCTGAACTCCCTTTCTGAGAGAAGAGGAGGCTGTGGGGAGTGAAAAACTAGCTTACCTCTGGAAGTTCCTATGTGTTCTGTATCCATGTATCCTGACATCATAGGGTTTCCCAAAACTCCTTTGAGGGAGGCTGCCCATCCTCCTGGCAAAGTTTGCCTATTTTGATGATGATTTTGAGTACTTCTAGTTCTTTATAGCCCAAGAAATCCAGAGAGGTTCCCTATGTTTTAACTGTTGATCAGAATCAGATTTTTATGCTCAATTAAAGTGCTTTATTGTTTATCTAATGCAGTTCATATGGAAATTAATAACTTCAGGAAATACTTATTAAGAACAAAAAGAAAAATCACTGGATTATATGTAGACGCATATTGCTTCCATTACTATTAAAAGCAATTAGATAGATCCCTCTCCCCCACTGAGAATGGGCTCCTAAATATTTTATGGTCAGAATAACTGATTTAATTAATTTACATTTAACTGTAGTTATTTTTACTGATTTGTTCAAATAAGTTTCTGGAAGATTCAGATTTGACTAACACTAACTGTGGTAAGTGCTTTCGCACAGCTTCCTCGTATTCTCATTTAATTCTCACAACAGCTCTGCAAGGTAGGTCTAATTATTCCCATTTTACTTACTGAGAAACCAAGGCTCAGAGAAGTTAAGTAAATTTCCCAAAGTCTCACAGAGCTAATAAGTTGGAGAACTTAAGTTTGAACCCAGGTCTTCTGACTCCAAATACAGTGCTCAATGCATTAAACTAAACTGCCTTCTTCAGGCCCAAAGAGGTCCATTTATCACAGAGCTTTTAAAAAATTAAACAGTTTCTATTTGTTTGGGAAATATTTCATTTCTCAAACCATACTGTGTCATACCTTATATGTACTCTCTTACTAATTCAATATATTGGTATAATTCAATAGTTCCTGGAAAGCCTGGTGGTTTTCTATGAATAAGTATAACATTTTCTGCCTACTGAGAACCTTCTGTGCTTATCCAATAAATAACTCGTATTATCTATTGTCTACCTTAAAGGGCGGATGTTCATGCCAGTTTAT